CACTCGCTGTCCCACTGCAATGCCCAGCCAGCGAGGCCTCGAGACTGGCTGGAGGGAGGGTCTCCCACAGGCCCCGAGACCGCCTGGAAGGTCAGCTCCTGGAAGGCAGCCCCTGGGACAGCGCCCAGCACCAGAAGGCACTCAGGACACAGGACCAACCAATGCCTGGCTCTGGCAGGTGGGCAGTGCTGCGGCAGGCCTGGGCCTGGCCAGAACCCCGAGGAGAGGCACCTGAAGCTGGCGAGCAGCAGCATGAAGCCCAACAGGGTGGACAGGCCGAGTCCAGGGGAGCAGATTTGCCCAAACCGGTCACCTTCGCACACCTGGCTTGCAGCCTCCTGGGCTGGACAGAATCTTCCCCTGGGACTTGGCGGCCTGTGCCTCTCTGACAAACTCTCCCCTCACTCACTGCGGCATCCACACGGCTGCGGAACGTCCCAGGCCTGACACCCTCCTGAGATGGCCCAGAGGCTTTCAAACAGGAGGTGCTGGCGTGTTGGGAGGTCTGCAGGGCTGTCCTGGTGAGCTGGCAGCACTGGGCACTGTCACCCCTGGCCCGCTTCCTCAACCCAAAGACAAAGGGGTCGCTGGGGTCAGAACCCACCTGACTCTAACCAAGGCCAGGACTCACTGTGACCAACTGTGAACACTGCATCCGCTCTTCACAAGACTCTTGACATCTTACTGTATTTTTAAACACAGGAAGCATACTTTAAAGAACATTTACACACACACCGCCCTAGCAGGTTTGGCTCAGTGGATAGAGCGTCGGCCTGCAGACCAAAGGGTCCTGGGTTCGATTCCAGTCAAGGACACGTACCTTGGTTGCAGGCTCCTCCCCAGCCAGGGCCCTGGTAGGGGCGTGTGCAGGAGGCAACCAATCGATGTTTCTGTCTGTCTTTCCCTCTCTCTAAAAGATCAATGAAAAATATCCTCGGGTGAGGATTAACAAAAAAAATTTATACAATTTATTAACATGTTTTACCGTTTTCTTTGTTCACAGAAAATATTTTTAAACTTATTTTGGTGAAACAGACTTATAGGAAGTTAAAGATTCATAGGAAGTTAAAGAGAGTACAGAGCATCCTGTGTACTATTCACCCAGCTTCCCCGGATGGGAGTCACGGCTTCCATACTATCTAGCTATATAAAAAGCTAATATGCTAAGTGTCCTTCCCTCTATCCGGGTAATGACATCACGTAGCAACGCCCGGCTTCCTCTCCCTAGCAACTAGCCTCCTTGGAGTTTCTTCAGCCCAGGAACACGACTTGCTTTATAGCCAGGTGCAAACACTTTACACTGTAACCAAATGTCTGTGAAGCGTTTTCCCGTGCCTCATCTCATCTGACCCTCACAGAAGTCCTGGAGTAGGTAGATAGGAGACTTGGTAGAATCCTATTTTCTTTTCATTAGCTGAAAATGGAGATTTAGAAAGCTTAGAAAGTTGACCCAATTGAAAAGAAATGGTGAACCTTGAAAATGACTTCAGGCTTTCTCACTGCGCAGAATGTAGTCAAACACGGCTGCAGTTCAATATTTACTCTTTGTTTTCCCTGCATGTTCTACAATACAGACAGTCCTCAGGTTACATCGGATTCAACGTATGTCATTTCATGGTTACATGGCCATCTCCCATTTATTTATTTAAAAAAAAATCCGTCATTTTGACATTGTACATATGTGCTTTATGTTTTTTATTATCTACCACAAAGGTCAGAAATTATCTTTTAATTTTTTTTTTTTTTTAATGTTTCACTTAATTACTGCTATGTATGTGCTCCATGTGAGTGACATAGGTGCTTATGTAGGTGGGTTCCAACTTAGGACAAAAATTGTGTTACGTCACGCAGTAGGAATGGATCTCCGACATAACCCTACATATATAGATAGATAGATAGATAGATAGATAGATAGATATGGCTAAGTTGACTTGTGCATGCGTGATACATATAAAGCTCTCACTGGCACCAATCACACACGTGTGTTTCCATCTGTCATTGTCAATTGTGAGTTTGGTTGATACTTCTATTATAGAGAAAGGGCGAATAGCGATATTAAAATATTTCTTCTAATTAATTTCCTTTCAATGTGCACGAATTTGTGCACCAGGCCACTAGTAGCACAATCAATCCAGAAGCGACATGTGTGGTTCATTCCACGTGATCACACGTGTGCACTTGCGTAATCCCCACTGCCATCGAAAGCTATTCCATCACCACAGAGATCTCCCTCACGCTACTCCTTCCTAGTCCCACCATTCCTAAACCTTGGCAGCCACCAATCTGTTCCTTCTCTATGATTTTGTCATTTCATGATCATCATAGAGGAAATCATACAAGACATGACCTTTTACTATACATGTGTGTATTTTTCACTCCTCCCAAGCCATTCCTTCAATCAACTGCCATGCCTTTCACTGCTGAGTAGTATTCCATGGTACAGATGCACCAGTTTAACCTATTGAAGGGAATTTGGGGATTTTTTTTAAATACTCATCCAAGGATATATTTTTTAATGAATTTTAGAGAGAGAAGAAGGGGGAAGAGTGAGAAACATCAGTTGCCTCCCATACGCACCCTGACCGGGGATTGAACCCACAACCTTTTGGTGTACGGGACGATGCTCCAACCGAGCCATTGGGCCAGAGCTGTGGGTGTGTGTTTTCACAGAATAAAACTTAAATTGTCAAAAAAAAACCAAAACAAAAAATACCTTAAATTGTCCACTTCGGTAGTCCTGAGTACAGGACCCGGGGAAGGAACACCCTGGAAGATGGTGCCATGTGTGAGGAACTTCTTGCCATGCTCATTTCACCCTTTTGGGGGCAATGTTTTATTTCAAACTGACGGCAAGGAAATCACACTGAGCCTAGATCTGGGTCTGGTGACGACTTGGCAACCTCCACTCTGTGTGTTCCTTTAAACTGACACAGCGTGGTGACGACACACCAGGCTGCTCGGAGCCTCTGTGGGCACTGCTCCTGTACTGCTGTCTGTCTGTGCGGACAGCTGATTTCTCTGCCAGGAGTATGGTTGCTGGGTTTTATGTTAAGTACACATTTAGTTTCTGAGGAAATTGCCCAAGTATTTCCCAGAGTAACTAGCGTTTACTTCCCGCCAACAATGTGTGAGGTTTTCCGCTCTTCCAGGTCCTGCCAGTATTTATCACCGACTTCACTGACGCTGTTCGTACAGGTATGTGGCGTCTCCTCATGGCTTCGACTGGCATTTCCCTGATGGCCGGTGGTGCTCAGTAGCTTTCACGTGTCTGCCGCTGATATCGCCTGGAAAAGTGTCCCTTCTTGTCTTTTTTCCATTTTCTATCAGACTTTTTTCCCCTTTACTGTTGCGTTTTGATAATGCTTTATTATGTTCTAGTTAGGAGGCCTTTATCAGATATGCGCTTTGCAAATATTTTCTGTCTGTAGCTTTTCTTTTCATTCTCCTAAGACTTTGTTGGAGCAAAAGCGTTTCATTTTGGTTAAGTCAAATTTCACAATATACTTTTTATGGGTTGTGCTTTTGGTCTCATGTCTTAAGAATTCTTTACCAAGCTCGGGGTCCTGAGGTTTTCTCCTGGAAGTTGTTAGTTTTACATTTTACGTTTAACCCTCGGACCCATGTTGACTTCTGTCAGGTCCAAGGCTTCGGCTGGGGCTCCTCTCAGCCTATGGCTGTCCCATGGCTCCAGCACCACGTGCTGAAGACCGTGTTTCCTCCAGAGCTCACTTTGCAGCTGTCACCCATTAGTGGGCCACTTCTGACGTCCCCGTTCTCTTCCATGATCTCTGTGCCTGCCTTCCACCAATCCTGCAGCTTCACAGTGAGTCTTGGGATGGTTAAAGACTCCCCATGCTTTAGTCTTCTAGTTAAGACTTGTTTGAGCTATTCTAGTTCTTTTGCCTTTCCTGATATATTTTACTTTTTTTTGTTAATCCTCATGAGGATATTTTTTCTATTGAATTTTAGAGAGTGGAAGGGAGGAAGAGAGACAGAGAGAGAAACATCGATGTGACACATGGATCGGTTGCCCACACGCGCCCTGACTGGGGCCAGAGGCAGAGCCTGTAACCGAGGTGCGTGCCCTTGACCGGAATCGAACCTGGGACCCTTCAGTCCTTGGGCTGACACTCTATCCACTGAGCCAAACTGGTCAGGGCTCCTGATCCGTTTTACAATAATCCTGTCTACACTTAAAAGATTTTATTGGGATTTTGATAGGAGTTGCATTAAACCTGTATATTAATTCTCCAGTAAAACCACCTGGGCTTGGAGATTTTTCAGGGGTTTTTTAATTATGAATTCAGAGTCTTTAATAGTTACAGGGCTATGCAAATGACCGCCTTCATCTGGAGTGAATTGTAGTTTATGCTTTTCAAGGAACTGGTTCATTCCATCAACCTGTCAAACTCACATGGGCATTTACTTACAATACCCCCTTCCTGTCCTTTTGTGTCTGGGGAATCTGTAGTGATCACCTTATTTCACTCCTAATACTTATACTAATTTGTGTCTTTTTTTTGTTGTTACCTCTGTCCTGCTAGGTCAGTCAATGCTGATTTTTGCAATGTCTACCTATCTTTGCTCACCATTTCTTCCTGCCGCCTGTGGCAGGCCCTGCTGGCTGCCCTCCCAGCATCCTTTCTCTCTTCCTTTCCCATGGAACCTCAATTTCAATCGTGGTGGCGATGCGTCCAAGCTGACCCCTGCACGGGCCCAGGCTCCTCCCTCTGTCCCACTGCAAGGGGCCCACAGAGCAGGGGGAGCCTCTCTGGCTGCCCCACGAAACACTGCAAGCCTAGCCCCACGCAGGCCTCCAGACTCTCTCAGACCTCTGTCCCTCAAGGGTTCTGAGATGACCGCTGCCCAAGGACTGAGCCCGGAAGGTCAGCCCATGTGCTCAGCCCCACACAGGGCTTTCTCAATCAAGCATCACCTCTACACACCCTGTCTGGGACCCAAACTCAAGCACCCCAAGGACCCAGGAAATACTTGATAGCTTTCTGCCACACACAGGGGTCTGCTTATTTCTATTTACAGAAAAAAAAGTCCACAATATGTACACGCACACATACGTGCGCAGGCCCATGGAGCTGCTCGGGAGACAGGAGCTGGCTCTCCCCATGGCGGGCTCCCCGACGGGGTGGGGAGCCACTGCTCTGAAGGCAAACGGGAAGTGATGGCCAGCTCAGCCCCCACCCGTCCAACACCTTCCTCCCACGGGGCAGGCCTCAGTCGGAGTCGCAGGCCTCTTGTTCATTGGTGGCGTCCACTGCAGAGGCCAGGCTGTCCTCCTGGCCTTTCAGCCTCTCACCTGGATGGACAGCAGACAGGAGGGGTGAGAGAGGCCCTGTACCTGGGCTGCCACCCAGCGGGCAGGGACCCACCTCACCAGGCCCGCACTCACGGATCAGCTCGGCGATGGCCCTCTGGGTCCGCTTCTCCAGCTTCTCCAGCTTCTTGGCTACGTCTCTCTTGAGGTCCCTACCGCAGGGAGGTGGCAGGAGGCCAGAGGCTGAAGGCTGGCCCGGTGTGGCCCTGAGCCCACCTTGCCTGCAGCCCCTCAGGCATCAGGAACCAGCCAGGACGCCCCGTGCCCCTTTCTGCTCCCTCCCAAACTCAGCACCTGCCATCCTTCCCAGCCCAGGGAGGCAGGGACTAGCCCACAGGCCCACCCCACTGAAGTCCAGGTGTGCAAGGGTGGACGGTTCCTCTGGCCCCTCAGTCATTGCTCAGAAGCAACCTGCCCAGTGCACTGTGAGTCCTGCTCCTCCTCCACACCCGGAGCTCCCAGAAGGCACCCACGCTGTCCCCTGGCTCTGGGTTCCCAGGACTTAGGCCTCAAGCTCATTTCATCAACTTTAAACACCTCCCTCTGGCGCTGTCCCTGACGGACTTACAGACGAGAGGAACAGGCCTACCCCTGGCCCAGGGCCCGGCACCAAGCGCTCCCGCCCCTCAGTCTGCACAGGTTCTCCCCTTGCAACACTTACCAGTCAGGCTTCCGGGGTGCGAGGTTGGCCAGGTCCTGGGGAGGAAGGAGACACCTGTCAGGGCCAGAGGGGCCCCACCCCAAAGGAAGGAGAGAGATGGACAGAGGTAGGAAAATGGGAGGAGGAAAAGGAGGAAGGAGGGGTGAGGGGACGTGGGAGGTGGAAAGGGGAAAAAGAAGGGAAGAGAAGGGAGGAGGAAGGAGAGCAGGTGCAGGAGAAAAGGCCTCAGGAGCGGCGAGAATGGGCCACTCGCCACCCTGCCACTCACCACTTCCTCAATGACTGGCTCCGGCTTGGCGGCCTCCAGCTGCTCCCTCACCTTCTCTTCCACTAGAGGGCGCAAGACAACAAGGGGGGCTGGGAGAGGCTGCCACTTGCCTGGTGACAGCGGCTGCAGCCACGGCAAGAGAAGAGGGTGCAGGCAGGTCCTGGGGACCTCTCTTGTCCCTTTGGCCCCCAGCCAGCCAGACAGAAGACCCTGGAAGGTGGCTCTGGAGGAAGGCTGGGGGCTCCCAGGATGAAAGCCACCCGGGGCAAAGCAGGCAGCTGGCGTAGTCAGAGCCAGACTTCGCCCCCAGCTGTGAATACATCCAAAGTGGGTTCTGGGCAGGGCCCAGAAGACCGGCTCTCCCCAGTCTCCAGGGGCTCCAGGATTTCCTCCCATCTCACGCAGAGGTGTGCTCCCGTGCTCCCAGACGGGGACGGCCACCTGGAGGCGCACTCGGCGCACCCTGGGCCTCCAGGCAGCGACCGGGGACCCTGCCCCTGTGGCACAGACGCTGGGAGCCCTCACATCAAACCTGGGCTCTACCGGCTTCTGCCAGGCTCATCACAGGGCCCCACGTTCCCTCAGGGCCCCCCGTCCTGCCCCCCCCCTCCAGCCATGGGTACTGCCCCCGAGGCACGGGACCAGCTCCCTGTCCCTCTCCTCTGTCCTGCCTCACTGCCCCCTCCCCACAAGGTGCCACTGGACCCACCACAGTGGAGCCCAAAACACCCGGGACACATGGGAATTTCAGGGGCAAAGGAGATGAGGAAGCAGACAGGTGTGGCTGAAAAGGCAGCACTTTGCTGTTTTAGAAGATAATGTATTTATTCACTTATTACTCATCGAATTGAAAGCAAAAACGAAGTTTAAAAGAGTCAGGGACCTGCGTGACAAGAACCCCAGCATCTCCGGTGCAGGTGGCGGGGGACAGGCCACTGCTGGCCGATGCTCCTGGCTGCTGGCTGCTGCCCACACTTGCGAGATTGCAGCCCTCGGCGGCGGCCCTCACCCACCGCAGACCACCTCTCCCGGCCTCTGGGCCTGGCACTGTCACACCTCCACCTGGTGGGCGTCCGCCTGCCCCTGCTCTCGCAGCACCTGCCCTTGTCGGGGTCTCTCTCTGACCCTTCAAGGGTCCGGGCACCACTTCTCAGCCCAGAGGGTTCCTCTGAGATGTGGCCTCTTCCCTCCAAGGCCCCTGGGAGGCCTCCCAGTCGGGGTGCGAGCAGGGCAGAGCCCTGCCTGCTTCTCTGCGGTCACCAACTCTGACCACGTGTGCACCTGCCAGGTGGTGGTGGGGAGGGTGCTAGCGGCCCAACTTCCAGCCTGGCATTGCCAGCTTCCTTTCCAAGAGGAGGCAACTGACAGTGCCCGGAGCAGAGACCAGCCACCTACCTGCCACGGGCTTGGCCTGGGGCACCCTCCTCCTCTTCAGGTCCTCGTCCTCGGGGACATAGTTCCGCAGCCTGAGTTCCCTGCACAGCGGAGAGCAAGCAGAGATGGAGTGAATGGGGGACAGTGTGGATCGCCGCAGACACGTGCAGGCCAGACCGACGGAGCCACACAGCTGTGACTTCCCCCTTCCTCTCTGGAGTGGCCGCGGAGGAGGAAGGCCGGGGACAAAAGTGCTGTGGGCCCGCCCTCTGAGCCTCAGCCCCTCATCCCTCTCAGCAGCTGGCTGGCAGCTCTCCCAAGGCCCTGCCCACCCTGCAGGCCCCCATGGGAGCTGGGGCTGGGGTGCCCGAGCAGCATTCACCAGTGTCTCCCCGGGATTATCTTCCTCTGACATTTACAGGAGCTGAGGGTCAGAGACGGCCCCAATTGTAGATGGTCTCACAGCAAAGCCCTGGCTGAGTTACTCCTGAAAGACCAAGCTGGGCGTCGCCCACTGGTTCCCAAGCCTGGCCGCCTCCTCAGAGCCTCCGTGCCGGGGCCACTGGTACATCGTCCCTGGACTCTGATGGCAAGATCTGTGCTGGGCGTGGCCGGTGGGGCTGAGGGGACTGGCCCGACACCGTGCAGGGCTGGGACAGCCACACCCACCATGGCAGAGCCCAAGACCCCTGTGAGGGGAACCACGAGGGACCAGTCACACGCTGGGACTGCCACATGCACGTGCCACTGTCCCTGTAGCGGAGTCTCCGCAGACTGGGCAGCTGCACCAGCACTGGGCCCCCGGGCACGGCAGCCCTCAGTCCCCACCCGCACCCCTGGACGACTCCCCAGAGAGGCAAAGGGCCCCTGGGGGCTGCTGCTTAATAAGGAGCCACTGGGCCAGGACGAGGCCCTGGGGCAGAGTGCCCGGCCCACCTGCCAGCCAGGTAGGACTGCAGTGCGGGTCCTCGTCCTCCCCACGACCTCCCAGGGGTCTTTGCGAGGACTGCTGCCCTCAGACGTCCTGGGCCTCCAGGACAGGGGACAGTCTCCCAACAGCAGGCTCGCAGTCTCATCTACCAAACCCCTCTGTGCCAGGCCACCAAGGGCTGCCGTCTGCCCCCACCCTGGCAGACAGCCTCTCCGGAGGGGAGGGCAGGTGCTGTGACCACACGGCCAGCCCTGGCAGCAAGCGGTCTGGACGTGGGGACTTCAAGTTCAGTCCCTAGTCACCAGCACCTGCCCCATCCCCTCTTCCAGGGCCCCTGAGACCACAGCCCCAGGGTCAGGCTGAATCTTTGTGCCCTGGGGGCAGTGCCCGCCTGGCCTCTGAGGAGCAGGGACACCAGCCCTGGCCCCCGGCCTGCCCCTCACGCCTCCCCAGGCCTCAGGTTAGTGGCAGATCAGGTTGCAGGGGGCGTGCCCCGCACACTGACTTCCCCTCACCACAGGGTGGGGAGAAAAGCAGAAGAGAAACTGGGTGTGGGAAACTGCAGGGATTTGTGGGAAAAACACTGTCACTCTCAAACTGGCTCCAGGGTTCTGTGAGAAATCAGTCTCGAGAGTGGGGGGGGGGGGGGGGGGGGG